GGATAATGTTTGTTAATTGTATTTCTTTATATAGCAAGTGAAAAAAGGCTGTTCACTCAAAAAGGGACTAAGTGTTCTCTTCTTTCCCTTTGTTCCCACAAGAAGCTAAAGTCACTTCAAGAGGCACTTAATCCCATCATCCATGGTTACAATTGCCTTACAGCATCAATCAAAAAGAATCTGAAGTAAAATGATGCAGCTATATTGTGTAATTAAAAGCAATTCAGGTAGTTATTGCTTGGGGCATTTTCCAGGTCCAAATACTTAAAATGGCACTGCGGGGATGCTAAATACTGTAGTGTTTTAAATTTGGTCAACTACAATATCTCACAGAGAAAGGGGAGGAATATGCAAAAAAAAAAAATCTCCTAGTGTGTATTGTAAAGTGAAAGAAAAGAGGAGGAACAGCTAACGTTTGAAGTGACAAAATCTACAAGTCTCCATATAAAAGGGAAATAAAAATATCAAGAAGAGAGAAAAGGGGAGGAAAAAGAAAAGGACTGCAGTTTTCAAGGAAAAGAAATTCCCTGCAATTGTTAAAAAGTTAACATGTCAAAAAATGCTAACGTTTCCTCTCAGGGAAAACAAAAGCTCATGCCACAAGCTTTACCATCAGAATACAGGTTCGCAAAATCTTACCGCTTTCCTAGTGGAAATAAATCCGAGGTAAACCAAGTGGTTCTTCGGGGAAAAAAAAAAGAAAAAGACTTAGGTTAAAAGAGAAGACCTATGATATTTACTTCTGAATAAAGCCAGAACTTTGGGAAGGTACTTTACCTAACAACTGCCACTAACCCTGACCCAGTTCTGCTCAAATTAAAACTGGAGGGTTATCAACATATTGATCAGCTTTACATTTTGATTTCTTTCTTTGTTCCAGACCCACTACAGTCATTTCCCCGACCCTCCAAGAACTAACTAAGAAACCCCCCAAACCTAACCCCTCGTCGGGGCAGGCAGAAGCCACCAGCTCTCGTGGTTTGAGATCTCTTGACAAGCAGCTTCCCTTCCCAGTCAAAGCGCCCTGGAAGAGGCTTTGTCTGATTTTAAACTTCCCCCCACAAGGCTGAGACGATCTCGCACCAGCGTAGCGCGGAGATGAATCCCCCTGAAGCTGATGGGAGCTATACAGGTATAAAATCGGCCCCCATCCCTCAAACTTGAAGAAGGTGAAAGAATAAACCCGAACACTTTCACAGCATCCTTGGGGAGACAGGTGGTCTGCACCCAGCCGCAGGGACCGAGCACGGTGCGCTGAAGAAGCGCTCACAAAAACTCAGCAAATTAAGAAATTTAACCCCCGTAACAGCGAGCTCTGGATATCAAAAGGGACAGATGGGAGGGGGGAAGAGGCTCCCTCCAGAGCCGCTGCCTGCTGGAAAAACTGTAGTGGGGAGAAATGAAAAGGGAGCTTCCAAGTGACCTTTAGCAAGCGCTTGCTCCAACTGAAGGACACATCACATTGTAACCAAAAAAATAGCCAAAAAATCGAGAGGCAACCAAATGGGGAAAGAGAGCCCTGATGATAAAAAAAATCACGATGCAGAGAACTGTGAGTAGAAAAAAGCTGTTTAGAGCTTAAATGGAAACTGAGTACCAAATTCCAAGTTGCTGGCAAGTCATTTTAGGAAAAATCTGTATCTTCAGCTGCTGTTTATATATGTTTTCCTATCTCCAGTAAATCAATGTAAGTCATATAACTGGACACTTTTCTGAGGAAAAGACTGAATACAAACCAGGAACTGGTTTGGTACTGACAATGGCTTAAAATCACAGACCCCTAAGCCATAAAATGATAAAAGGCTCTCATAGGTTAAATAGTTAACCAAACTTTCTCCTCCCATGAGCACTAAAATTAAAAAAAAAAAAAAAAAGACCTTTTATTTACCCCACCATGTTCTTTCAACTATGTTTGACCCTGTTGTTTTGGTTCACTCTGAACTCCACCATGCCTTGAATTGCTTTGACTGGAGAGCAGGATTTTTTTTCTTCTCAGTTCAAAATGGCCAAATTAGACAGCGAGCATAAAAATAAAAGGATTGCTGGCTTCTCATATTACTAACGTCTCCTGTTTTCATGGCAGCAAAAATAGTCTGTTTGTGCAGAAGAGGCGAGTGCTACCGTTCTTCGATTTAATAAGGGAATTTTGGAAGAGTTTTAAATAATGGCTCAGGGTGACAAGGGCTGCTGCTTCCTACTAATGGCAACAGGCTGCTTCTCTCGGGCAGCCTGCGTGTGTGTGTTTGCTATCATCCAAGGTTAATTGGTGTCCTGTCTTGGGGAGCTTTAACATACGTGACATACAGTTGATGATTCGCTCCCTCCCTTACGGCGTGGATAACTCTGAATAACTCGTCATGCCCATAAAATATTCCCGAGCCGAGCTGCGCCTCGCCTCGCTTTTACCATCAGCAAAGTTTCTGGCTCCTTGGGATGCTTTCTGCTGCTTGATCACACCCACATCACTGCAGGGCAATGGACAAGCAAGCGGTTTGTCTTTGACACATTCGCTTTGCCATATTAACCAAGGGAAGGTGTAGTTAAGATCACAATTCATTTCCCTGCTTTCCTGAATATATATATAAATAAACATAAACACTAAACATGAACAGTTTTGAAGTTTTAATTTCTATAAGTAAATTTTAAGCACTTTCACGTATTTAACTAATGCTGTTTCTACACTGCAGTTTCAAAATTTACAGCACCGTGAACAGATTTTGTAAAATTTTGTTTAGCTATGTTTTCCCAACAGAAGCGCTTGCATTATGCATTTTTTTACAGAATTGCAACTAGCAGCTGTGACAGAAAATTGCAACACATTTTAAATAACAAAAACACCCTATAATAAAGAAGAAGATTCAATGCCATATCAAGAGGTTTAGAAAGGACTACACGTAAGATTAGCCTTTTTTAAGACATGCATTGAGAAGTAAGAAGAGATTACTTTGGATGTATGACATCGACGTATGATTTGTTTTGGTTTATCACTGTTGTGTACAAGCCAATATGCACCAAGTGTGCTCAGGGTTGTGCAACACAAAGCAAAAGGCATGGCTTCTGAGGTCAAGCATCTTCCAGTTCAAGAATCAGCCCTGTATCACCAAGAAGCTGTCCCAGAGCATCCCATGGCAAACTCTGTCTTAGGAAGTGAATATATACAAACCACAAATCTGTAACGGTTGCCCTTTTATAGGCAGACCCATGTCGGTGGTCTCTGCAGAAAAGCTGAACTTTAGGGAGATTCTTTGTCACCGCAAACCCACTCTTGCCTCTTCCAATTCTTCCCTCCAGCTCACCATCGGGCACTTCCCTTCCTACTAACTCTGCCCCAATGTTTTCACACGCACCGACTCTGCACCCACCCACGTCTCTATGCACACATACACAAAAATTGATAACAATGTTTGGACAAAATCTCTTTTCTCGCTGAACATGATTTTCACTTCTTTTCTTCCCTGCTCCCCTCTCTTTCCTCCTACACTGGGATACAGGGAGCATCCCCACCACTGAGCTCTTGCAGCTCCCACCACCAGTCCCGCTGTGTGCGTGTTGGCTAAATGCTGCAAGGTCAAGATCGAGATCAGGATTTGAAAATTCAGTGCTAATTACTGTGATTACGGTCCGAGTCCCAAACAACCAAAGCCTCCCAAGCAGTTTAGGACCAGGCTGCTAACGAGTGATATGTAAAATAAGAAACAGGTACTTGATAAAGTCAGAATCCATAAAGTGCTGTTCCTGCCTGTTAAACGACCTTGCTGTAACACAGAGCCACTACGTTCACCAGAGCCGACTCAGGCTGGATACCCATATCTGCAGAGCGCGAGAGAAAAGGAAAACAGTACAGTCCTTAAAAACAGTTCTGATTTACATCTGAGTTAAAATAAAAGTACACTAAAGATGTGCCTGAGAATGTTTAGCAGAAGGAAATGAATCAAGTGTCAAAATACTGGTATGGCAGAAGTCGTAAGAAAGAATAAATTTGTTACTTGCTTTGGGTCTTTCAGAATTTCTGATTTTTTATAACAAATAGTCTTTTTTGTAATTTCAGTTGCGGTGGGGATATTTTATAAACTGAGGTTCCCTTCATACTTCTGAGAATTTTTCACTAAATAAGCCATATTTTATCTTGATTTGCAATTTACGGCAGTCTGCACTTAGCCAAAGCACAAACAGCTTGACGATTCCTGTGCTTAGAAATGTATGTAAATTATGCTACTAAATAAAGCACAGACATTTTTACTACTTAGGAAAAACAAAACAATATTGCAGTCTTCTCTGCACTTTGAGACTGCTCCTGTAAACCCACTCGAGCATGTGCTTAGCCCAGAGAAATCAAAAGGACTAGTCAAACACTTAACATTAACCATGTGCTTAAGTGCCTGCAGGACCAGGGATTAATTTTGGATTATGAAACTGTTCCATTTCCATGTGTTCTCAGGCTATACGTGGGCCAACCTGCTATTTTCAGGTTTTGGCACAGAGAATTGTGCAAAATTGAGGTTTAGATGTATGCAGATGCAATCCAGCTGGTGAGTATCTTTTAAACAATATAAAGATGCTCGATCTCAGCTGTGGAAAAAAACCTCTGCACGATATTTTCAGAATAAGATGAAAAGCAAAACTATGATTTATGTTTAGCCAAGCATTATTTTGTAGAAGAATTATTATGTAGAAGAACTATTTTGTATTAAATTGAACTTATTCAGAATGGTTTCTGTGCCAAATAACTGAGCAGTGAAGAACAATTCAGGAAGCAATTAGTAAATACGAAATGGCTAAAGAACAGAACTATAAAATTAAAATGGACTGCAATTACATTTAAAAAATAAAATTCTGTAATTACATCAGAGCTGATGCAATATGACAGAAGAAAGACAGTGCTACTAGTTCAACAGCAAGTGTCGTTACGCTAAATGAAAACCAACCGTTCTCTGCTTTTGAATCCCAGCCTGGTGGAAATTTAAAAATATTTCCTAAATGGACAATAAAGAAGAATGCTTGCATACCCCACAGTGCTCCAGGCAATGCTTCACTTTAGAAATGTCTACAGGCAGAAATACTACCCTGCAGTACGGCTCAGGATGGCACAAACAAGCATCTGTGTTTATTTTTTAACTAGTCAGATTTATAAGAGCAATGAAATCCCTACATAAGCATTTTATATTGACCTGATATGGACTTACTGCTTTAACCAGCTTTTTAACTAACTCCACAAGTTAATAAAGGCAACTACATGAATCCTTACTGCCTATACATTAAGATAAGAAAAACATTCATTAAGCAATATCCAGACTGTTTTAATTACAGGAATATCACTCTTATTTGTAGTATAATGTTCGTTAAGTACAGTATAACATTTTCTTAAAATGCCCCAGAGGCAGTTAAAGTCTTGATTAGCTATAAAAAAAAAATCTCCCTTAACTTCAATCACAGGAGTTAATGCCTACTGCAATGAAATTCCAGTACTTTTAATCACACAAACATGTCATATGTAAATCTTATTAACCATGAAAACATTACATAAGATCAAATGAACTTTCTATGCCGCTGTCACTATTCAGTGCTAGCAAAATGTAGGAATTTTTCCATGGCAGTTGTGTTGTGGTAGCAACAATAATAAGCCCAGCCCTATTTCCTTTGACAATTAAATTAGCTGAAAACGAGTTCTTCTTTTATTAATTTCAAAAGATAACAGGGAATGCCCCAAAATTCTGCTTCTGTATTTTCATGTCTTTAACTATGTACCTGTTCAATTACCTGAAGTTAAAACGTACAAAACTAGTAGCAGCAGTGGGATTAAACAACCTTACGGAGACTGCAAAACTTTCTTGATCTCCAGTAAATAAACACCTGACAAAGCTTTATTATTCAATAATAAAATTTCCTTTTTCTTCTGCCTTTTTCACTATGTTACAAGAATTAACATTATTACTGCATTTGCACAGATGATGATGAAACACCTACATTTTCTTCAGTATTTATCCTGCATCTGTCTGTTATTCCTCAAGCCTCTCAAAAAAAACATTCATTTTTTGTTTGTTAACCCCACCAAGAATTCAAAAAATCATGAAACAGTGACATCACATCATGAGACTGCATTAAAAACTGCAACATTTTTAAAGTGCATGATGAAATGTTATTTTCTGGTTCTTGTTTTCCTGGCTTTGTATTTTCCAGCTTTTCGTTACAACCTGCAAAAAAATTGTCTTTAACAGTGAAATAAAAAAAAAAAAAGTTGAGATTTTTGGAAGCCAGGCATAAAGGAAATACAAAATATGGTGAAACCAGTGAGAAAAAGGTGACAGCATCTTCCCTGTAGGTAGCAGAAGGATATTTTTATTACATGGAAATGGGCACGCCAATCCCTAACTCAGCAGCAGCCCTCCAGCATTGTCCCTTGGCAAGGTCAGTAAACCAAAAATGGTAAATTTAGAGCCCGCCAGCATTTCAGGCTCAGCGCCCCTCCAGCCACTGAGTTCCCCTCAGCGAGTGATAAGCCTTTGCATGGCATTACCCTGAAAGGGACAAACCCCTCACCCTACTGAGCTGGGGGGTCAGGTCCCGCTGCCCTCATGGGTGTGTATTCAGGGTGTGTGGTCAGAGCCCTGGGTGCACCCTCCAAGGGGAGATTCAGCCATCCCCTTCCTCCCGACTCAGAGGGTTCATTAAGCGCCTTGAGGACGTGAGCACACTTGGAGGACATGAACCCCATCCAGCGGTAGCCGTGGTGGGGAACTAATTTGGAGGAACACATTGGTTGTATCATCACAGCCCATCCTACTGAGGATGAACTTTACTGTATAGGCAAGTTCAAAGCCCATAAAAGTGCTGGACCCAGCAGGGCAGATAATATGAATGTGTGATGGAGGAAAAATGTTGGCCAAGGGACACATTTTAATACTAAATGCAGAAGCTTGCTATAGAAAAACCCATTTCTAAGCTACTTTTATAATTTAGTGATCTAAACATTTTCACAGAACTTTTCAGATCGGTTTTGCCACATCCCCAGAGACTTAGAAACTGGTCATGAAACCATGACTCCCAGCTTCCCACTGCAGATCCCCCACCTAGTGAGTCCCATCCCATTTAATGGTCAGTCAGTCACCGACGTGGGCACCTTACACACACCAGAGTTTAAAAAATCAACAACATTAAGAGTGGAAGAGAGATGGGGTGAAAATGAACTTCTCTGCAAAACAATATGATTTTATTTTCACAAAAAAATTATCAGCCAGCAGCCCCTCTTGGGCCACTGACAGCACCTGACGGGCCTTGCTCTATGCAAGTGTGAGTGCAAGCGCTCTTATTACACGCTCTGTGGGAGTTTCTTATCTGTATTTCCCAGGTGAGATTACTTGTGTGGTTACGGTTGCTACAACATGTATTTATCGTGGCCAGTGAACACATGAAAAAGCCATCTGAATCTCAGGTAAAGCTCAAGAGTCAAGGTCGCTCTCCTCCTTGGTGGCCTTGTTTCATAGGATGCCCCCTTTCCCCAAAACACCTCAAATTCGTTAAA